TGTAGGGAGTTATGAATGGAATTTATGTGGCGACCCAGATCCAGTGCTTGGTCTTACTAGGGAAGGATCCTTAGTCGATGTGGCCTTTCCAGCTAAGATGCATATATTCTTGAAGGCATTAAAAACTGATTTCAAAACTGTTTTTCTTTTTTGCAAAGCGCCTCCCGATGAGGAGTTGCAAGCGTTTTATGAGTAAAAAAAACTGAGCCCCTGGTTAGAGTGAAATCATTGATGACAGGCTTTCAACTCGCAAATGGAATTGGAGAACACGGAGATAGATAGCAAGCAGGGACTTTTCCATAAAAAGGTTTGACAGTCACGAGTGTTCCATTTGAGTTTACGAGAGTGTTGTGGAACGCTTGAGCCGTTGACGATTTCTTAGAAAAACACAAGAGTTCCCCCTCTGCCCATCGGCGTACATGCCGAGGGTTTACTAGGAATAACTCGAGAGCAACACACAAATATATCAAGGTGCGGCAGGTACGCCGCAGCCACAGAGACCATATCGACCTAGCCTATAATGAGCGAGCAAGTTCCAATATAAGGGATGGCTCTATAACGTCTCTCCCCCCCCCTCTAAGATGAACAACTGTACCTCTTACAATAAGGATCCACTTGTAGACGTTCTGGTGAGCAACGATGGCGACTTAGTCTGGTTGATGTCGGTGACGTAGTCGAGGCGGCTTGATGTTCAGCAGCATCCATACCACTGTCTTCGTCGGGAATGGACTTTGTGGAGTTATGATGTCGATCCATAACTTGCTGCGCGGCGCATCTGGTTTGCATGTCGTCTCCATAACTGACCGTCCATAAAATGCTTCTCCGTAGCGTTTCTTCACTCGAGCTGGAATCCATTTTTCACATCCAGAGCGAAAATCACGTACCCACACTCATTTTGTGGCTGGTACGCTCTCTTTCGTGCTCCATGGTGGCGGTTAGACTGCTTCTCTATGTATTCATTGCCCATTCCTCTTTGGAGTCTTTATTTAGCAACGATGTGTCCTTACCTGACGTCCCAGGAGCAGCTCAGCAGGCGAACATTGTTTTGGAGCAGTTGCACAAGGCGTCCGTCGATAAGACTGCAGAAACTCCGCAAGCTTCTCTGCCGTTCCTTCCTCCTTACTTTTCTGGAAAGTTCTCTTGAATCCATATCCACAATAATATCCACAAACCACGATCACCTGCGATTTCCAAATCGTGCAAATAGCGATCTGAGTTCTCTTAAAGTAGTTGTAGTTGACGATAAAGGCATCTCAAAAACTTTTGGCCATTTCGAGTAAGCGTCAACTACGACGAGATACATCTTACCATTCAGCGGCGCTGCATAGTCAATGTGAAGACGATTTTATGGTCTATCTTCCACTTTCCATGAATGCAGCAACGTCTTCACTGGCATTTCGAAGGCTCCTTGACAATTCCTACAGCGGCGCACTGAGTCTTTAATTTCTCTGTTGATGCTCATCCAATATGCGAATCCTCTCGCGAGCATCTTCATCCTTGTCATTCTAGGGTGTCCCTCGTGTAACTGCTTCAAAACCGCTTGTCTCAGCGAAGCTGGAATGACTATTCTGCGACCAAAATACAAACATCCGTTTTGCACTGATAGATTCTCCCTCAGTGTCTCTAGTTTCGGACTTCCTCTTTCGGCTTGGACGGCCACGCTCCCGACTGCAGCATTCGTATAACTTGCACAATGGTTTCATCCTTGAGGGATTCTTCTTCTATCTTTCTTCGGGTTACCGGTAACGCTCGTACAGCAGCAGCTTGAACGGCTCGCACATCTTCTTCTTCGCTAGTCACCTTTCTGCAGTTGTACTTGGTCAATTTCTTGTAGACTGGCAACTGGATGCACCATTCCAATCCCAGGAGATTTGAGCTTTCCGTGACGTAGCAAGTTCCATGTCCATAGACGTTTTTCCTTGTGATTCGATCCTTGACCTTGAAATCGGTCGAAAATTTACCATATATCTTCATCGATGTGCCGCCTGCAGTTTCCACGGGCATCACACAGGGTTCCAAAGCCGGGGATCCCATCCTCTTCTAGGCTCTGCGTGATGCGTGTCATATTTGCACCTATGTCCAGCTGGAGCTTGAGATTACATCCTCTAACTACGACGTCGAGGTAGGTCCGCACGCTCTCGGCGTCGAAAGCGACCACATGTTTGCACTGTCTTCTGCGGCCAAATTGCGCTCCTGTCTTCCGCCGATTCTTCTGATTAGTACTGACAGATTGTGGACAGTCTCTTCTGAAATGTGGTCCTCCGCATATAAAGCAATTTACTTTTTCTTCCATGCAGCATGGACGTAGCGAGTGGCCTTCCATGTCCGTGTTATCCACTTTTCAAAGCAGTGAATTTTTCGCAATCCGTGACTAGGTCTTCGATTGTTAACGGTGCTTCGTCCTTGTGAGCGTCCAGTCGACGAATCGTCCTAAGGCGAACTTCCCTGAGTGAGGGATCTTGAAAACCTGCTGCATATTGCAGCGTCTTCATTGCCGTGTAGTCAACCTCTTTAAGCCGGGCGTCCTCGTCCATCCGCTTGATAGCATTGGCGTACTCGCAAAACGGTACGTACGCAGTATACTTTGGAATATTCGAAATTTTTCTCGAATAATCGAATAATCGAATATATTCGAAAATCAGAAATATCGAATAAACGAATTTTGAATATTTTCGAAAATAAAAAATGTCGAATATTCGAATATCGAATATTTTTCAAAATCAAAAATGTCGAATAATCGAATATCGAATATTTTCGAAATGAAAAAATGTCGAATAATCGAATATCGAATAAATTCGGAATGGAAAAATTTCGAATATTCGAATATGTTCGAAAAAAAGTCTCGAATAAACGAATACTTTGTATAAACTATGTCGAATATTCAAACAAATCTAGTCGAATAGTACAAAAAAAGACTCCCAGTAGTATACAACTCAAAAAACAAGCAAGCTGATATATTCAAAATGTAATGCATATTTCTGAACTGTTGACAGATCCGGGTCTGCTCGGTCTACTTCCTCATAAGACTATAGAAGTCAACAATCTAATCCACTGTGAACACCGGTCTTCTGCCTCCACTCTTAAGTGCGCAAACCATTAAAGACAAGGGGCTCATTCACACCTACTTTCAACACCTAGTTTCGATCAAAAGCTGCAAAAACATCAAAATTAAGAGCGCGATTGTTGGTGTAGTTAGTACTATCTTTTTCCAACACCCAATTTCTCAGCAGCATGCCCACTCAAACTTGTGCACGAACTTTAGCTTCGAAGTCGAGTCCAAACAATGTTGTTCTTTTCTGGACGTTTACATACTAGGACCTTCTTTCAAACTCGAAAAGGAGTTCTCCAAGAGTGAAAGACAGACAGGTTCAAGCTCTCAAAACTTAATGATAAACTCGCGTACTTTTGGATGCCCTTACTGAGTAGTTCCTTCACGAAGATTCACTCCAATAAATTCCATGTAAAGAACTTCACAAATTTTACTTACTGGCAACTTGGACAAACAGAATCAAACAACAAAGAAACAATTATTGCGTATCAAAAACATATGGGTCCTCTTCCTCCAGTTCTTCCGAGTCATCAGAGTATGATTCCTCCGATGTACTATGAGCTGCATTCGACTCGTAGTTGCATCCATAACGAAGGACTTCCTTTTGTGTCCAAGCTTTGCATGACCTAAATAGTTCAATTTTTACAAGTTCAACACATTTTATAAGTTGAAGAAACTATCTCACCTACTGGTTTCCTTATTCGAATTAGCGTTGATCATCAAAAAAAGCCTTGCGTGTTTTGCTGTGAGTCGCCCTCTCCTTTTATTGCCATAGATAATGCCAGCAGTGCTAGAACTCATTATCATTGAATGCACATAAAACATCAAAACCTAAAGTACCTAAACAGCCTTTCGCTGTCTACGGATGTACAAGGCGCGACGAGGTATTCAGCTGCTGATGATGCCAATAGGGGAACTGAGTTTTGTGAGAGCGCCACCACTGAACTGGGTCTGCATCAGGACTTGGTCGTGCGTCTCCTCGGTTCAGATGTATAGTGTACTGCTGCAACTCCATCTAAACTTCAAGTATTAGAGTGATATTGAGCAGTATCTCAGTAACTGAAGATCTTCCTGTTGCATCTGTGAGCTTCTTGAGGGGGTGCTGGTAGTACTTTGAGTTGTGATCAAAGACCACATATCCGATCCCTTGGGGGTAGAAGACCTTTCATAACTTTCGTCATCGGAGTCCGCTGAGTCAAGAGTATTGCCTAAACCTAGGCATTCTTCATAAAGTTGCAAGTGTAGTGTTTGCAACTCACTTTTACACGCCAAGAAGTGGTCAGCAGTTCCTCGCCATTCATCCCTGTTCAATACGGTATCCAAAAACGCAAATCTAGGGTCGCATAACGCGGCAAAACGCAGTGGCTGACTGATGAAAAATTTTGCGAAGTATTCCTTTGTGCTACATAACAATTTCTCGCCAAACTGCAGTCCTTCCCTTCGAGCAGCTGCTAGATTCCTGAAGTGCCATGGTTGTTACCCGATGGAACACGAGAAAATGATGACCCGCTCTTCAGTCTTCGCGATCAAGAGTTTTCCTACTGGAATGAACATTGAACAGCAAGACGTTTGATAGCACACCTACATTGCAGAAATTAGACTGATCTCAAAAAGAAAACGCTTTGTTGCTACCTGGTTAGTCATAGCCTGAAACGGCTGTAAGAATACTCTCATTGCCTTTAGTATCCGTATTTCCCCATCCTCAAACGGCAGCATGTCACAAGTTGGCAGCAATCTTTCAACTGCCGGCATCTTCAAAAAAAAAATCAACTGGCTGCAGGAAGCAATGCTACCAACATTCACTGACTGCGGCTAGGAAGTCACATAGCATGAAGTATGTACTGGACCATCTAGTTGGAGCATCATTCATTGGCACAACATTCGGGAGGTTTTCTTCGTTCAGAAACCTGAGGGGAAATGCTCTGAAGACAACGAGAAATATTCAGAAAAACTACTGTCTAAACATTTTCTTCAACTTTCCGCTCTTATTTAGCTTGGATACCACGTGCTTCACTTTCTTCAGAACATGCGCGCACATTGGAAGATTAAGGGCAGCCGCCACGGATAAATTAATGACGTGAGCACAACAGTGGATGCTGAATCATGGGAGGTTCAAGATGAGAAAGGGAAGCAGGGCGCCGCTTACTATTGTATGCCTAGGTCGGATGCTGTTTTCACCATAACCGATGCTCCATCAGCAATCATGAATGACACTCGCTCTTTGGCAATTCCGAGTCTAGACAAGCTCTCCAATATTTTCGATTCTACCAGCTCGCTCGTGTGGCTGAACATAGCAAGTAATCGCGAATCCTAAACCGCCCAAAGATAGTACACCTATCCTCCTCAAGCGGGGCACAGTCCAACACCACGTTGATTCTTTTCGAAAAGTCCCCTCCCAGGGCATGACCGGTAATCGCAAGCAATGAACATGATGCATTTTTTGACGACCATTCATCGACTGTGATTGCAATCTGTGCATCCTCAGAAACTCTTCTGTTGTCGTCATCAATGGCATCAACTTCTTTTTGCATCAGCTTTAACAATGTTTTTGTGCTTGGCGTGGCATAGGACGGGTGAAGTGATCGCAAAAGCTCCGCAAAGGATGGCAACTGAGTGACGTGTAGCGGAAGAGATGCTTTTGCAAGAAAAACTATCAGCTTTCGATCGATATCCTCTTTTGCAGCTTTGCCAATTTTCCTTTTAAACACGTCCTCAATTTTAGGTTGTTTCTCGCGTTCGTTTTTGTTCAGACTCGCTCGTTGCTCAAACTTCTCCACTTCCGCCTTGTGTTTGCTTCTAAGGTGATGCAGTAGGTTTGATGTTGTCCTCGTTTTTGGGATGAAAAGTGATTTACCGCAGAAATTGCAAACAGCAGTTTCTGCGTTGCATTCCACATCAACTGCTTTCTTAAAGAAGTTCCAGACTGAGCTCATCTGAAAATTATCTTGTTGAGTTTATACTTGAGATATTTATGGTGACATATAACCACTCTTCTTTCATTTTTGTTCAGAACTTGCAAAATCTACAACTCTAGTAATCAAGTTATAAGCGAATCAACCGCGCAGATCCGTCGTTGCGAGCAAGCGAAGTACGGTGAAACTCTTGTCCCAGTTACCAGAATCATAGTACCAAAAGAAAAGAAAGTAACCCCGTTTCAATTGAGTCAGCAATCAAAAACGCAGTCAGCAAACCACTGGTACAGTAGTCCATCTATGAAAAGATGCAAGGAGAAAAGTCATTACAAAAGCTTGTGTCCAACAGCTCAGAAATACGCAGTGCAACCGTGCGAGTTCACTAACTAACCAACTGCCGTGATGTCTTGGATGTCGCGTTTCCATACATAAAAACTTTCACTGAACGCTTTTAATGTTTAGAGAAGTAAAATGGACAAAGTTTCTGTAGAAGTATTGAATTTCAGAAATTGCGCCCAATGAACAACGTTATATGAACTCGTGTGGTTGTAGAGTATGCGCGTTTGCAAGAGACAGAATAACTCTACGACAATATTACTGTATCTGTCTGGCTCAATTTGACAAAATCGCAATGTGAAACAAAATTGAAAGTGGCCAATCATTCAGAGCAAAAAACCGGCACTTTTCGAGTTCTTTTTACTTATCTGTATGCTTCAGCAGTCATCTACACATTGTGCTGTTCTTACATTGCAGCGCAATGTGAGCACAGCACGGCAATGCGGCTGCATTGGTTTTTTGAAGCCGCGTGCGAGCAGATGCCCACTACATTCAATAAGATTATTAGAAAGGATAAAAGTACTCACCGGAGTGGTTCGCCTATGTGGTCGCGGAACGGCATCTACAGATCTGCAAATACAAACGTTGAAATTCAGAACAGCATAGCCTACTACTATCCGGTAGCTAAAATGTTTGTACCTGTGTTCATTTGAGGTGGTCGCTATAGCAGACGAGTCGTCATCATCGTGAAGGTCACACCTAAACACAATGAAACAATTAGAATAAGTAAGGTAAAATGATAAAAAGCTAACATTTCAATTTCCTCGGAACAATCAGGCTCCATCAGACCTCTGCTACGCTCACCAAAGCCCTAAAGCAGCATGTGATGTAGTAGGGACAAAATAGGCATAGAAGACGGCGCAAGCCACGTAAAATACGCTCTGACCGAAGTACCCTTCAAAACCCCGAACAGCATTGTGCCAGCACGACGATAACACAACGCTGACATTGTACTGACTTTTGGGTCAAGTGGTGTCAGATGTGCACCCTTGCAGAATAAATTAAATGATAGAAAAGTAATAAAAAGATAAGAATACAATAGGAATAACAGTTTTACCTGTGCTTTGCTTCTTCAAAAGTTGCTGAGGTTGATACAATGCCAGCCGGCAGATTTGTATTGTTGAGCAAAACTGAACACAGCGTGGTCAGAATTGCGAAAGACCTTTCACCTTGGCAAAAAACAAACATCGAGCAAAAACCATTTGGCCGCAGTTGAGCAAAAGCGGAAATAACAAAAAGGAAATATTTGAGTTACCAGATCTACACTTTCAATGGAATCAAGTGGTTTCCCGACCATAGTAGAGGCTAAAAAACATAGCTTCAAGAGCGGAAGGTTGTTAAGTATAGATCCTACAATGTCCTTAAATCCTACAACTACACGAAGGTGTTTGAGAATGAGGAGAAAATAAGATGGCCTGGTAAAATACTGCGCTCAAATGGACAGCATCAAAAGTGTTCTCGAAATGACCAACCGCACGGACTGGCCGCACATTGCAGACTACGCGCGCCGCGGCTGTGATGTCATGAGAGCACAATATATGCAATAGCGACTTGTATCAATACAAGCGATTGGCCGCGGGCGCGTGTTACGTAATTTACGGCCGGTCCGTACAAACAACGACTCGACATTTTCCGAGTGGTATATGAAGCAAAAAGGGTTCATTCTTCAACCCGCTCCATGTTCAAAGCTCTTATCAACAAAGGGTAAGAGCGGGTTGGAGAAAGAACGGCTACGCTTTAGTGGAGAAAGGAAAAAAGCTGAAAACGCCCTCAAAACAGAACTCCTCAGTAAACAATCTCAATCTCCGCTTCTTGACAAGTGTCATCATGCCTTCCGAAGGACTGGGGTTGTGAAAATGCGCAGAGAATATAGGGAACATTTGATTTGTGGGCGAAAATAATGATCACAGAATGGATTGGCTCACAAACTACCGTCAAACCGATCGCACGGAATGGCCGCATATTGCATTCTTCCTCCAACCCGCTCTTCAAAACTCCTGCTGTCAGAGGAAGAGGGATAGAGGACTAAGAACAAAATGAAAATAGAGAGAAAGCCTGCAAACGGTCGAAAACGTGGAGAACTCCAGCAAATCACAGACATAGCGAGTTGGCAACAGCGCAGATTACGCAATCACATTCAACCTACAATCATTCACGCGGAAACAGGGTGGTCGTGGTGAGACCGACTTAGGAATGGCGTGTAAATGCGAGAAAACACAATTGGAAGGGGGAAAGACACAAGAGGACACCAGCAATAGAGCATATAGTTATTCGATTACATGAAAATGTCGAATAATCGAATAACTTCCGAAATTAAATATTCGAATGTTCGAATATATTCGAAAAACAAAATTTTCGAATAACCGAATAATCGAATAAATTCGAAAATGACAATTTTCGAATAAGCGAATATCGAATATATTCGAGATTTTAAATTTTTCGAATAATCGAATTTCGAATAAATTTTATTCGAATACTTTATTCGAATACTCGAATATTTATTCGATTCGGTCCAAAGTATAGTACGCAGGCTTAAGCGGAGAGCACGTTATCCTTAGGCACTCATAACGTCTTCTGATGAGAGTCTTCTTGGAGGCGAACAGCTTTTGAAGATTCGCGACGGTGGTATCGAAGTCCAAGTCGCTTGGTTGCGCAGGCAGAACCTCATCGGCATACTTCCTTTATGCTTCCCATCCATCTTACTCAGTTGATCGTACTGATCCTTGCTGGTGTCTTGGACAGGTCTTCTTGTCCTTGATCCTGGAATGATATCCACGAAAGTCCATAATGGAGGAAAATGGACTTTCAAGCCCTATTTAATTCGTTCGCGGTGAAGAGTGGTCGGAATCTGCTTTCGCTCGCGTTATTCAAAAAATTTCATCCCATCGCAACCACGAGGCAATGCGGTGAAATGAAAATGATTCAACCCTACCTGAGCTCTCGCTTGCGAAAGATGACGTCAAAAGTCCATTTGGAATGGGGCAAAATGGGATTTACCTCCATTTTAAATGGACTTGAAAGCCCTTTTTACTCCCAGTAGCAAGGTGAGCTGGGACTAAGTCCATTTTTGACCTTTTTGCATATTTTTGGTTGCGATTTTTTGAGAATGTGTTCCTTAGCCTATTTTGAAGTAACAAGAGAGTGGAAAAAGTTTCATGTCTTTTGTAAAGTCTGAAATAAGTGTTTCCTTCTAAACTCATATGAATGCTGTAAAACTCATGGAAGGAGGTGAAATTCACCAAAATATTCGTTAACAAGCTCAAATGCTTTTGAATATTAGGTCGATGCGAATATTATCATGTAAATCGAATAAAGTTTGTTAACTCTCCAAATCGTCAACCAAAATTAAATTTATGATTTGTGTTTGAAAGTAAAAAAAGATTTGCGTTTCAATACAATTACTCAGAAGCTATCTTTTGACTATTCTCGTGAAACCGAACCTCAACGACGGCATTTCAAACGCGATTTTAAGTTTGGTCGCAAGAATTAATGAAGTGCCGCTAGCTAGCAAGAAAAATTGTGAAAAATTTCTTTAGCAATGGTCCGTACATTTGACTACTTAGAGATATAAACATTAGTGCTGAAAGACAAAGAAGAGCTAAAGTAGTACATTTGCGAAGTCTTTTGCAAATTCATAGTTTTTCCAAATTGAAAAAAAAACTCTTTGGGTTGTAGTGTAGTAGGTTTCCTAATAAGCATTTTAATTCACAGATTGCAGTGCAAGTCCAGCCAAAGTTTGCCTTCTGCACAAAGCTCTACTTACGAATTTAATTCAATGCAGATTTATAGAAGTCTTGAAAAGCGAAGGCCCGGATTTACATGAATTTCAGTCTTGGGAGTAATTTAGATGCATAGTTATCGATAATAAATGGCACTTTAAGGGGTGTAACGAAGTGGGAAAGAAAAGAATATCAACGTAACTGATATTGTGATGACAGGTCAGCCTAGTCAAATATCGACCACTTGATGGAAGTGAGTTTGGAAGAGTGAGCAAACCGGTTGAGACAAGTTGGAGAAAGGTTTGTCAAAGCATTTTTGTATGGAGTGAATGGATTCGCGAATGCGATATCTTATCGCACCGCATGGACTAAGTCCATTTTATTCGCACGAAAAGCCCATTTCGCGGGGACTTTCGTGGATATCATTCCTGATCGCCTGTTGTTGTGGAACGCGTTGAGCCGTTGACGATTTATTCGAAAAAAAAAACACAAAAGTTTCCCCTCTGCCTATCGGCGTACATGCCGAGGGTTCACTAGGAATAACTCGAGAACAACACACGAATATATCAAGGTGCGGCGGCTACACCGCAACCACAGAGACCATATCGACCTAGCCTATAATGAGCGAGCAAGTGCCAATATAAGGGATGGTTCTACAACAGAAAGTCTTCTAATTTTCTTCTAAATAGACAATTCAAAGTTTTGCTATAAAAACCCTCGTAACTCCTTGTCCATGCTCTGCAGCGAGAAAGATAGATAAAATCAGCGTTCGATGTCCTTTAAGAAAATGTGAGTTCCTTTTTCAAAGGTCATTTCGAATAAGGATCATTCGTCTGTTAGAAACATCGGACGCACTAATATGCTTACAGACTTTTACAGTTTAATGCTGTTGTTTATCTGAGGCAGTGGGAAAAGGCGAAGAGCGTTAGTATAATCAGAACAATGTGCAGGCTTTTGCGCTTTTTTTGGAATTCAAAGCTTGCATGTTTTTTGAGGGAAAAAACACACAGCTTTACCTGCGTCGCCATCATTACGACCGCGGTACTCACATGTCTTATTCATTCGAAAGAAGAAACTACAACCAGGGCCCAGCACGAGGGTGGCAAATGGACATCGGTAAAACGGCTTCGCTTTTGCCACTATTGATTTTTACGATTTCCCATTTGATCCCGCTTCGATTGGAGTGCCTTTTCTTCCTCGGAAGGACCGGTGTCCTTGCTGTTCCCGATCCGAACAAGGAGGAGAGGAAGCATTTTGGGACCAAAATGTTACCTTACCAAACTTTAGGTGTAGCACAGATTTATGTAAAAATTTTGAAAAAATTATGTGAATTGGAAGTTTTGCCAACCTCAGATGGGCATTAGATTGGCAACTGCCAACCTAAATTGGAGAAAGGTTGTGCACGCTCTTCATTCACATAAGTTTTTCATAAATTTTCATATTTTGTTCTTTAGTCGTACTGCGCGTATGCACACCAAATCTCGCGCGATTTCGTCACCTCTGCGTTGCAATGGAGCCATTTTCCATTTTTTCTGATAGCAGGAAATTTCAGATAAGAGCTTTTCACAAACTTCAGTAACCTAATTTTTCATTGAAACTTCTCAGGAAGCCCTGCAGGCCCGTGTTCGTGTAGTACCAAGTTCCATACCATATCGTCACCTGCGTTGTAGACGAATCATTTAAATCCACATCTTCACTCATTAATTATGCAAAATTAATTATGCAAAATTTTTGGAAAAAAACGTTTATTACATCTTCATTCACATAAGTTTTTGATAGTTTTTCGCTTTGTTTCCACTATCCTCTCTTCGTTCGCTTACGAAATTTGGTGCCATACCATTACGCATACATCGAGAACTAGTCATGTATGCTGTCACAAATAGCTTCGGTAGCGAAGTTGCGCGTGCGGCAATTAACGATAACGCGATTTGACGCGCGCGAACTCCAGTGTTGGCCTGTTGGGGCACATAATATCTTACATATAAAACTAACATCTTATATATAAAGCTGAATGTCTGTTTGTTTGTTTGTCTGTATGTCTATCTGTCTGTTTGTGTGTACGTGCAGTGACCCCAAAAAGTTGCGGACAAGCCTCCCTCCCTTTTTCATCGCTCTTTTTCAGGGTGAAAACAAGGATGAAAAAGTGTAAAAATTGGGTGAGGTGATAGAGCTCTTCAAGATCTACAATCTATACTTTGAGTTTTTTGAGAAACATGTAATTTTAAGAATCTTTTTCTAAAAAAAGTCCGAAAATGGCTGCGTCACAATGTCGCGGATAATTCTTCGAACGCAAAAATTTTCTTTGAGTCCTACTTTAAAGCGGAAACACAAGTTATCCAGACGCGTAAACATATAATATACAGAGCTCGTCAATAACTACACTGGTTATGGTTGCTTCCCCAGAAAAAGCAGGCTTGAATTTTATTTTAGTTTTTCAAAAAACACTTCTAATTTCCTTGGTTTAAGCCAAATTTCTTCGCATAAGAACCTATTCAAGACATTCCAACAAAGCTATTCGGACAAAATGGATGCTCTTTGCCATTTTTTATGCATCGGACATATGCTGGTGAGATTCTTTCCTGAAAATGGCTCTTGACAGTGCGTGCACATGACCCCACCTGCACCTCACCACTGACTTGTATCGCTTTGCAGGCTTGTAACTCGGCCTGCAGTCAATATTTGAGCCTGCATATAGGCTCATTCGAAAGAACGAGACTTTCTGTACACGAAGTATGCAGATATGTTCCCTTTGAGTAACCCCAGAAAAATGGCGGATGGGGTGGTAAGGGCAGCTTCAGTTGTAGTCTAAGCACTTTTCAGCTAAAGTTGAAGAGAGCTCCTTTCGCTACTAAAACATTCCGGAAGTTCAAAACTGTCAATTTTCTTGTAATAGATCCATTTCGAAGCTCTAAGACTGTTCTGCTGTTCTTAAGAGCTTTCACTCCAATCACCTCTAAGGCTGCACTTTTTCACCCCATCCGCCATTTTTCTGGGGTTGCTCAAAGTGAATCTTTCTGCATACCATCGTGTAGAAGAAGTCTCCTTCTTTCGAATGAGCCTAATTGCGGGCTCAAATACTGACTGCAGGCCGAGTTACAATCCTGCAAAGCGGTACAAGTCAGTGGTGAGGTGCAGGGGGGTCATGTGCAGGCGCTGTTAAGAGCCATTTTCATCAAAGAATCTCACCAGCACACGTCCGATGCATAAAAAATGGCAAAGAGCATCCATTTTCCGAATAGCTTTGTTGGGTTGTCTTGAATAGGTTCTCATGCGAAGAAATTTGGCTCAAAGAAAGGAAATTAGAAGTTGTTTTTTAAAAAACCAAAATAAAACTCAAGCCTGCTTTTTCTGGGGAAGCAACCATAACCAGTGTGTAGTTATTGACGTTGACGAGCTCTGTATATTAATATGCTTACCCGTCTGGATAACTTGTGTTTCCGCTTTAAAATAGGACTCAAAAGAAGATTTTTGCGTTCGAAGAATTATTGTCCGCGACATTGTGACGCGGCCATTTTCGGACTTTTTTTAGAAAAAGATTCTCAAAATTTTTAGAACATATGTTTCTTGAAAAACTCAGAGTGTATATTGTGATCTTGAAGAGCTCTATCACTCATCCAATTATTACACTTTTCATCCTTGTTTTCACCCTGAAAAAAAGCGATGAAAAAGGGAGGGAGGCTTGTCCGCAAGCTTTTGGCGGTCACTGTATGTTCCGAATAGAATTTTTATTTCTGAACTGATCGGGGCCAAACTTTGCACACATACACTTTGGAGCAGAGGGTCATAGGCTACTTTTCGTTAACGATTAATATTGATTTTATCGATTTTTTGCAAAATTTGTGCTACGGGGCTGGGAGTTGGCACAGGGTGGTAATCGAGCATGCTGATTACAAATGCATTATCAACAGGGCCGGGTGGAGCCGGGTTTGCCAGCTAGTGTTAAGATAGGCAAAGAGCATGAACTACCAATTTTTTCAGGGCTCCGCCCGGACCCCGCAAAGACGATATCCACTTTGTTTTTTTTACTCAAAACGATTTCCAGTATGTCATTTGCCCACCACGTGCAGGGCTCTGACTACAACATGACTCATTTAGATTATTCATTGCTTTGAGTCAAGTTGGTGTAAAGCTAGTATATGCGTGTACTATGTAAGGGCGGGAAAAGGGAGGGAAGGAAGTCATGCGGAACAATTCTATGATAAGTTTTGTATAGCTTTTGGACTCATCAAACAGAAACAAATACAGCGCTGGTCAAAACTTAGATCCACTCTGAAAACTACCGTAGCTCCTCTGCTTCTCAACGAAATGATCTGAAGTTTGATGCAGCTGTGTATTTAGCAGACTGCCTTCAGTAGTCAAAACCGATCCCGCTTTCGTTCGATTATTCAGTATAAAATTAAAATTTTTGAAAAAACAGGCTTGAAGGCTGGCCAAAACTATAGATCCACCCAAAGTTTCTGTCCACTAAAGTATTTCTCGGCTTCCAAAGTTTTTTGTGCATAATATATAGTCAACGTCAAAACAGTCGCTTTGGTCCAGCTGTGTCATACCTTTATAAGAAACGCTTATGTATTTTTTTTTTCAGTCAAAAATACTTTCACGCGTATTTGGTGTCATCGAACTAACATTATAAGGAAATCGATGGAGTGTAGTTATAACATGAGAATATACCACTACACTTATGAATACATAGATAATATATTGCATCTATCTACAGATGTTTCCCGAGTTGTCAATAGCTCAAAAGAAATTAATCTTCCTTCTAGAGATAGATACGACATCGGGTAATGAGATAGAGACCAAACTTCTTAATCTTCTTGGTGACTCACTAATGCCGCAGTTTGCGCGGGTGGGTTTAGTATTTAAGTGTCGCAGACAGAATAGTACATCATTCTTTCCGATTAGACTCAGAGTGTTCTAGTCTTCAAATATCTGTCTCTTCTAACATTCTTCCCTCATATAGTCATATAATCAGAGTCGGTAGTAATTTGGTCCGAGTTTGAAGCTCCGCGTCAACTCAGAGATAATTCTGAGTTCCGTTTTTGAAACACGGAGTTATGCTTATTGAAACTCTGAGTTCCGCTTTTAATGTTCCGAGTTTCAACTCTCAAGCTCGGAGTTTTGCTTCGAAGAGCTGTTCCTACGCACTTTGCTGCAAAAGAAACGTTAAAGTTGGGACTCGAACCTGTACGGTCTAGCGTAAAGATCCTATCACTAAACCGCTAAACCATGACACACCCTTGAATCTCGAAATTGCTAGCCATAATGTACTCACTCATTCCGTTAACACTTAGCATGTCAAAACAAGTTATACCAAAACCTCACTCATTTCCACTCCTATCTGAAAGTGGTGGTTCATCACGAGGATTGGTCTTTTGCGCAGCTGAAGGCTTCAAACAATAGAGAAAGCGGACGGCATACGCAATGATAAGAGTGGACTATTAGGATTTGCGCAATGAATAAACCCTCCGGGCAACGTTTGCCCTTATTTCATGATTTCGTCATACTTATCGCATACCTACCGTAACCGTTCTCAATGTCACCAGTGTATGTAGCAGGTAGAGTGTCTGTGATTTGCGCCCCGAACAACTCCAATATACCAAATTTCGGACAATTCCGCAGCTTTAAATCATCTACCGAAAACCTACCGTAACCTAGTCAGATGTCACCGCACTATAAAATGCATGAGCGCCCCGAGTAACTCCAGCGGTCAAAGTTTCGATTAGTTTTGTGATTCTTTCAGTTCTTCCGTATAGCTACCGTAACTCCGCTATATGGACTCGCAGCCAGGATTGCATAATATATTGTTATAAACGCGCACCAAGTTTCAATCAGACTCGTGATTTTTTCCCATCTACCGTAAAACCTACCGTAACTCCTCTATATGAGCCCATGGTGAAATGAGTACCACATTCGTGATCAGCGCACCGAATAACTCCCTGGGCCAAGTTTTTAAAAAATTTCAAAATTTTGTAAATTATTGCGCACCACGATACCCCCATCATATCTGCTTAAACTACAAGCAAAATATACCCCGGAGGACTTTTTAGCTGCCCCTCTTCTTTTGCGCACTATTTCTCTTTCTCTGACCAAACTCAGAGTTATCTCTGAGTTCCACGATAGACTAGAATGCGCACCAAACTTAGTGCTATGACAGACACTAGTTGCGCGTTTGGTGGCGCTGTTTCTTGTGCAGAACCATTTTTACAACGTTGCGCCATTAGGAATATACTACCGGTTACGGAATATCCTGCCATATCATCGCTTCCCAGGGGGGTCAAAAAGTTGCGCGTTAGCTCAGAGATACGAAAAAAAGGATTTTTATCGTCACCGCATTAGCTATCGTTTCTGAAAGAGCATCCTTTGCTGTCGTCTTTATACGAGTATCTTCTATTTGGAAGAATAGAAAGGTGTAGTTTCAGCCGCGCTTTCAAAAAAAAAACATGTCTGAGATTCTAATCAAATTATGAACTACTCTCAAACTAGCTGGAGTACCCGGTCTTGCCCGGCCAACTTTTCAAATGTTTGGTGCCTATAGCGACATACATTGCTCTCAGTTTGGAAACATCTCGATCACAGACAGACATGAAATAATAGTTCGTCGTCAACGTGTCTAGAAAATATCAGTCTTGAAAATTACAAAGATTGCACGCGATTTTCAAAGCATTTTCAAGACGGAAACTTTCTTAACACGTTGACGACAAGCCATTTTTTCTTCATGTTTGTTTGTGAACGATGTTTTCCTGTACAGTATCTCTTAAGCAGTACAATCGAAAGAAAGATTAGGCTTTTTCAATTGCAGAAGCTCTCATGGGTTCGCTTTGAATTGCTCAACGGAACTTAGACGTAGGAGAAAAACATCGACAAGATGGCACAAGAATTAGTCACTCTTTTTTGTTTGGTGAGATGAAAATAATATTTGCCACGTTCCACTCATTGCTTTTACGGCGTTTAGGTGTGCTACAGTTATGAGAATTTGAGAAACGGGCTAGATAAACCGCATACAGTGTTGAAGAGTATGGTTCGTACGCTCAATTTTTGAGCAGTGATTATGGATGATACGCTTTCATCATTCGGAGACCAGATTCATTATTGCTTTTTGCCAAACTTGTCGTTTTTCCTTCATTTCTTTGGGCATGATTCGCTGTGAATCGAATGACTAAATCGTTTTTTTGCGCATTCAATTGACTAGAAATAACAAACCGGTTATAATCTTCGAAGTATCTACCACCTAAAACTTTAGTGTTTAGGATTTCATAGCCTAGCAATGAAAGCCACTTTCGTTCTGCTTTTATTTGTCATAGCTACGCTACATTTCATTCAAGGTTTGTCTTATAGCTCAACTGAAAGCGCAGTTGTTTTGATAATAATCTTATTTACAGCAAAGGTGATTGCCCCTGTTAAACTAACCATTCCACTAAGGCCTAAATGCACGGTAAGAAAGTACATACATAAGCACAAATTTTACATTAGAATTTATAAGCCTCTTTAAGATCAATCGTCATGGAATAAAAGTATGCAGTGCGAAGTTCTAAAAGCTGCTCCAGTACGATTCGTCATCTGCAAAGTTTTCTGAAGGTACAACTACTTCTCGATTAGTTTGAAACCACTGTCTTCTGGCTAAGGATTTCATCCAAAAGAGCACAGCTTGGAACTTTTTGTAACTCTTGTTCTTGCTTGCGATAACCACTTATACGGACAATTTTCACTTTTTTATCTTTTTAAAGTCAATTTTTTTCAGAAATGACGAGACCGCTTGCGAGCAATCTTTTATTGTGCGATTGCCATCGTATCGATGTTTTCTTTGGTGTTTCATGTATTTTTTGGGGAACTTTGTCTATGAGTGAAACATAAAATGGTTTTTTGTTTTTCTCTCTACAGAACAAGATAAACTTGATTGATCAAGAGGCATGATCAACACGGGGCAGCTGTATCCGTAATCCTACATGCTAAATAAAAAAGATTGCTGTTTTTGCGACGTGTCGCACATGGTCGCGTGAAATGCTTTATGAAGCTTTTTTGAAACAATATCATAAATTTAAATCCTTATTCTAGTGGTATTCCAAATACGGAAAAAATTTTGAAAAATTCATTTTCATTGAAGTTACGAGCTTCCAACGTCGCAGCCAATCCATTTCCACCCAGGGCCCGGCGGGGGTGGCGCTTTCACAAGCTGGATATCGTTTTTGGCCCGAAAAAGCAAAAGGGAGGTCGTATTTTGGGGTTCGGGGCGGAGCCCCGAACCCCAAAATACGACTTCCCCTTTGTTTACCGATAAACAATGCACATGTCATTCTTTATTCAGCATTCCTTGTTGATGCTACTGTCCTATGAACTTAGATTCCAGCAATGTGAAGATTCTGTGCTCCGATCGCTAGCCTGCCCGCAGGCGGGAATACAAATCGCAATTCTTGTAAGAGGAAAATAACAAAATAGGCTCGTTTTCAATGCACAAGTAACGATATGGCACCAAATTTGCTGTATAGTTGGAGGACCATAAGCGCAAAAAAAGTATGAAGAATTATGAGAAACTTATGTGAATTTAAAAAATGGTAAGTGTTTTTCGAAATTAGGTGGCTCCCGCGCCACCTGGGAGCCACCTGGGGTGGCTCCCTGCTTCCCTTCACATAATTTCCCAGATTTCTTTACATAAATGTGGACTAGGTCGAGAGTATTACTATATGTTCAAATCCGCTTCCAAAACCATCAAGGTACCGCTTCGATACAGCCCCAAATAGGGTTCACAACGTTATGATCGGCCTCAGAAAGCGCGCTCCAATCGCAATCGGTGCACCTTGCACGGACGACGCGGAAACTCCGAGAATTTGACTTTTTGCTTGATTAGTGATCGCTGATTGAAGCAATCTTCGCAATTTTTAAATAGATTGCTTCTACGACGAGCCCTACAAGGGCTCAGAAGGGCCAGGGATCATATTTGGTCGTGATGTTCAATACAAAAAGTTGTTTTTGTGATTGTGTTTCTTCAGTTTTCGCATTGTGGTCGTTCTCCGCACTTTCGCTCATTTGGGTCGTTTGTTTTCGTCGTTTTTCTTTATTCTGGTTGTTGCAGGCATGCTGTCATCAAAAGTTGAGGAAATGTTTTTGACAAGATCGAGTCGAGTAAAGTCGGTGGACCTTCATCTCACGGAAACGTGGCTATTGGCAGCTCTTTACAGTGGAAGCGTTCAAATATGGAATTACGAAAGTCAGCTGCTTCTGAAATCTTTCAAAGTAGGTTTATTTTTTTGAATTTTCATGTATTTTTGTACGTTAGGCCCCGGCCAGACTTCGCTCAAGATAGCTCATCCAAGAATGAGTTCCTATCCCGCAAATAGTTAAGCGTTGCCAGGTGTTCTTGTACATATGCGTCGTGAAAAGGGGCCTTTGGTGTTTTTGAGCGGTTCTGGGCTGTTCAGTTGAAGTCTAGCTGGGGCCCTATGTTGCTTACTATGTTTCAATCCAGTATCTTGCGCATTCTTCAGATATGTGATTTGCCAGTGCGCGCTGCCAAGTTTATTTCACGCAGAAATTGGATTGTTCGGCTCAGATGACATGCATGTCAGAATTTTCGACTACAGCACGTCACACTTAGGTCACCAATTTGCGGCTCATTCGGACTATCTCAGGTAGGTGGAATGGTGCATTTATGCAAATATGTTACATGACATCGAATTTTTGCATTCGTTTTTGTACATTTGTAATTTTTTGCTTTTCTTTGTGTGTTTTCCTTCATTGCCTCCAATATTTTTGTGGATCAGCGAGACCCATATTTTCAATGTGTTTCTGGTCTGGACGATCCCTTACTCGACAGAGTTTACGCGACTTGATCGTCGCGATTGAATCGCGACAAGACAGCTGTTACGAGTTCATTGCTTGCCAACCAGCTTGCACTTCGGGACTGTCAGGGACTTACGGGGGCCAAAAATAGGGTCAAAAGGGAAGTCGTAAGAAATTTTGACTTCAAAGGGGATATCGTTTTCAAAATCCTGAAATGCCACCTCCTGCCGGGCCCTGTTTCCACCTCGCATGTACTCGAAGTGTGTTCTAAATTTTTTGTCTTTTAAATTTCCTACCTGGGACATTTTGAGAATCTCAGTGTATTCGCAAAAAGCCTATTTTAAAGGATTCTATGAGCTTCCGGTTCTTAGTTAGGACAGCTATGTAGTATTGGACCTAATGCTGTTACCATATAAGTAAAGCATAAAAGGCATTACCTCATATTTTCATCCTTGTCTGCTAGACATGTCTCGGATGAGGGGTGTAGTTAATTAGGTTGACAAAAAGTTCCGTCGATTCAATTTAGAAAAAACTTGTAACTGCTCCATTTGTGCACGTATTGACTTACTAAAAACATTAAGTAGAAAATTTCATCTACTTTCTAGCCGCATCTTCGCCGCCCTTCGACGACAAAAGACTCCAGAGATGAAAATTCGAGTAGGAGAACTATGTATTCAAAATCATGGTTTTCGAAAATAAATTGTCAAAAATCTGAAACACAGCAAAAAAATAGAACATGTGTTTATAGAAATTTTCTGAGCAGCTCTTGCTAACAGTACCAAGCCTTTGTTAATCGGGTTTTTCTATGAAAAGTTACGACTTTCGTGAGAAATGCAAAAATGGCAAAATGGCAAAATGGTGTTCTTTGCATTTTTCTGCATTTTTCACGAAAATCATAACTTTTTTGTATAAAAGCTCGATCAGCACAATCTTGGCGTCATTAGAAAGTGCAGCTCACAAAATCTCTAAAAAACGTGCTCTCAGATTTTTCTGCAGCGTTTCAGATTTCTGAAGATTTGTTTTTGAAAATCAATTTGAGTGGTTCTCCTAATCAAATTTTTACCTCTAAAGTCTTCTGTTGTTAAAGAACAGCGAGAAGTGATTGAAAATTAGATGGATTTTTTCTACCTAGGGGTTTTTTCAGTAAGTCAATACATTCACAAACGGAGCAGTTACGAATTTTCATCAAAGCGATTTTGAAACAAACCAGCAAATATTAGGTTGTAAAGAAAGTTCCCGGGCACTTGCGTTTTTTTTCAAATCGCTGTAACTTCAAGCAGATTGAATCTTTTTTGAAGCTACAAACTTCATTGCAAAGACAATTTTCTCCACAACATATATACAGGGTGTCCCAAAAGTAAGTACACACTTTTCAATCGTCAATATCTCTCTTTCCAATGGGTCTTTTTTTCGCCATTTAAGTACCATTCTGTAGGGAAGGCTTCAACTTAGATTCACGATATTGAGCGAATCACCGACCGCTCTTCACCACTGTAGGATTACGGTAAGAACTTCCAGCATGTAGAACTATAGTGAAATATGCCATATAACAAAATTTTTTTTTCAGATAATCTGAAAAATAGTGTACTAGGGTTTTCGCGCACGCTGATTCCACTACACAGCTTTTCATGAGTGTTTTCAGCTTTTTTGACGGTCTAATCACATTTCTGACAAATATTGAGAATTTGAATATTACGGTTTACCTGGGATAACTTTAGAAAGAAACATCATAGTAAAGTGGAAATTTCATATTTGAAATCAGCAACTTCCATTACCTTGGTGAAGAGTTTTTAGCTTGTTTGGTTTAGTTCCGTGGCAGAATATGGCTTCCAATGGCCTGAAATCCTTGTCGAAGTTTCTACAGTTATCCTACAGTAATGAAGACCGGTTGGTGATTCGCTCAATATCGTGAATCTAAGTTGAAGCCTTCCCTACAGAATGGTACTTGAATGGTGAAAAAAGACACAATGGGAAGAGAGATATTAACGATTGAAAAGTGTGTACTTACTTTTGGGACACCCTGTATGTCTTGCTGGCTTCTCAACACCTCACTGCGGTCCACCAGCATGCGCAGAAGGGAAAAAGGTCGTCGCTAAAAGTGGCCTGTTTGTGCAAGATTATCTCAGGCATGATGAGAGCTGGAGAGGCCAGATGCTGTAGTTATATAGAGGTTTGCTGGGGCTGTTATGGGGATTATTCATGTTTTTGTAGGACCACCTGCAAAAAATTTTTTTCCAGGAAGTTTGAAAAATCTACCATTTTTTGCCCCTAAAAATGCACCATTTTTCGAGTAAGTGACTTTGAAGTCTTCTAGTTCTGCACAGAAATGACCAAATCCTTGATTACTGGGAACATAGTTGGGGTAATGCCTTGCACATCTTTCGGACCCACCGTCCAGGCGTGGCGACCCCGCAGAAGAAACGCCAGGTGCGAAAAGACTTGCAGTCAAAGGCAAGTTCGACAGCTTGTAATTCCTGAGCGCAAGTCGCAAAACTCGAGTGCTCCTGCGTGTCAGAGGTTAACAGGTTTCTGAATCAGATCACTCATGATTTGGACGAATTTCTTGAAGTGCACAGAAAAATAGGCGCAGGAAGAAAAGTTGTGAAATTTTTATTGTTGGAAAGGTTTCCTTTTTTGATGTGCAGGTCAAACACGTCTTGGCATCGGTAGAAATCAGAAGAGGTACTGAAAAGTTTAAGCTTCGCTCTACTGAATACTGTGCATCACTTAGTGCCAAAGTCCGACCGAGCGCCAAAAAAATGCGTTTGAAAATGAAATTTCCAAAAGTGCCCGGGAACTTTCTTTACAACCTATTACTTGCAAATTACTACTGCCCATTTCTTGATTACGTCTTCCCTTCACTCACTCCCCCGAAAATCTGTTATGTCGGGGTTCGCATATTGAATCATTACCATGAGGGTTCCTGCACTTAGCGCATCCATCTTCTTAGACGGTAAAAGTGTGTGTGGTTTCTGAGTTGAGCTTCCTGTTTGATTCGTCGCAGAAATGACAGATGCCAAGGACCTTTGAACTACATTTTTTTCAAGTTTTTTTCAAGTTTAGTGGCATTAGAGCAC